ATAGGACATGCTGGACAACAAGGGTTGTTGAAGATTAGGTTGATGATATAGAGGAATAATTATCTCATTTTGTAAATCATTTAGGTGTGTTTTTTTGTTTTGTTTTTTTGCCTGTAAAAAACACCTTAAGAGATCCTAAATAAAACCATCTCTAGCCTATATATCTAACTCATTTATCCAGAGTAAAAGTTATCTCTCACCAAGGGCAAAACACAGGTAATATTCTTTATTGAATCCATATCTTTTTCTTTTTAGCAAATAAATAACTGAAGTCATGCTTTGTGTGGCTGATCAATAACTTAAAATAGCTGCTCTTTGTTATTCATTGGTCCAATCTGAGAGTAACGTGACGATTTTTAGAGAAGCTTTCTGTAAACCAAACCAGAGCCGACCTTTTGCTCTACAATTTTTATTCCTTTCTATAAAATTCTAACTTTGATTAAATAAATTATGTTGACCTAAATTGTAATTACCCTCCATGCTAATAATCTAAAACATGTCTACCTGTTAAATTTATATTTAAAAACGTCCCTGTATGTCTTACTCATATAACATGTTTTTAATTGTCAGATTCCCTCAGTTTACAAAAGGTTGTTGGACGATGTAAAAAAATAAATATAGTTGAACTTTTAGCACGTACTTGGAACCATAAAGCAGCTATAAACCAGTACATGACAGGATAACCCTCCCATAAGCAGAAACTCAGAGCAATAAAACATAAAAACCATATCTGACTAATGCTGATGATGCATCGCTGTAAATATTATCACAACCATTTTCCATTAAGTAACTGATGGCCCAGTTTAGTTTTATCCAATCTTTCAGCTCAACTAAGTCAAAAAAAAGCCACCTATTGTCATTGGTACGATTCTATTCGAAGAGTCATTGTGCGCAGCTCAGGAAGAGCAAAAACTTCTAGATATTAACGGTGGTACTCAAAGCTATACGTTTTTCTACTGTGATAAAATGTATTTTACAGCCCAATGAATGATAATGATTACAGAACAGGAAGAGGACTAGATTTCAAGTTCTCAGGTGGGGGTAGGTCCAAAGTTCCTGACGTAAGGGAAAGTCAGCTGAACGTGTTCTAAAAGACATACTCTGTCATCATTACTAGGAATAGCATCCTGATCTAAGAAGGTTTACGGTTCAAAAATGTATTTAAAAAGAAAAAAAACGCCTTACTTACTGCAGAGTAAAGCTGCTAGCTGTTCACGTTGATTGGATTCATTTTAGGGGGTTTTGACCTTTTTAGGAGGTTCTATAGATATTTCCCCCATTGTAGGAGACAACAGAGCGGGCCGAGAACCGCTAATCTAATCTCAGATTAAGGGTCTAAAAGGAACAGACAAACAACTGAAAGAAAAACCTATTTTTGGGTTTAAAGTCACCACATCCTAAAGAATATCAGTGACTGCATCAACACACAGACACAGAAAAGGGGGCAAACTGCCCACTAAAACCTCTGTGGAAGAAACATGCTTTGACTTATTCAGTGCAAATTTGCTTGAGTTATAGTCACGATGGAGATCATTAAAGTCTGAGGTTTCATCTAGAATGTTAAAAGGTTTTTTTTTTTTTTGCTGTTTATTTTGGAAATATATATTTAAATATTTTTTATTGTTGTCTTTTTTTAATCACCAATAAATCAGACACAGTAACATTTACAACAGTGGTTCCACCTGAAAAATATTCAATATTTTTCTGTCATACAAATGCAAACAATTGTATTTCCAATTTATAGTTTGGGAGCTGTACGTGCTTTAATTCATATAGGTAATTTCGGATCAAATTTGCTCCTAAAACCCTCTGGGTTTAACGAGGTACCTAAATATACTTTAAAATATATTTGCTGTCATGGATGTTAAGACATGAATGTAAGTGTTTTGCATTTAGTCTAATCTGGGTCAATTTTTAATGTTTAAGTAGGTGAATGAAAACAGAGAGAGAAACATTTGGTTTGTTGAACATCATAGATCATCTACTAGAATAAAAACATTGTAAAAAAGAAAACTGGTTTAGGCGGATTTATTTTAGGAAATCAGATGTTAATCATTTTAAATAAACTCTGGTAACTAAAAGTCTTTCCTGCTCCGTTATTTTTCTATATTTAACCAGACCTGGAAAACACAATAGAGGCCAAACTAGGTTACATAAAAAACAGTGCTCCTTATGGAAAATGAAACAAACTATTTGACCAACTAAGATTTGCATCAAACTCTGAATATTTTCTCAGCACAAATCCCTCGAACAAAGATAGGACATAGTGATGTTCTTTTCTGCAGATAAAGGTCTCCAGTCACTGATGTCTATCTAATTTTAGTCTAGGTTATGCAATAATTGATCAAACAAATCTAGAATAATACTTAAAATGTATATTCAATTGAATTTCTTTCTTTTTTTTTTATCCTATATCCTTACTGATAGACATCATCCTTATTTAAAAGGTGTCAGAGAATGGCAATTAGGCCAATTTTTCTCACCCAGAGCCTTGAGGTTGATAAATGTCACTGACTGTCGTTATGAAAGCTATACTAATGGGAGGGTATAAAAACACATGCAGGGTCTCTCTGTTTGACTCAAGCTGAACACTTTAGAACTGAAAAAATTCGCCAAATGTAATTTCTATTTTGACTGCATGCCTAAAACATAGAAGATCTTTTTATGTTGTTTGAACCAGGATGCAGCCTGGACAGACTTGTAAGTGGGCAGACATGTAAATGAGCACTCTGTCAGCAAGAGATTTATGCAAACTCTGTCAGCAGATACTAACACACACACACAGGAATATAGAAAGGAAAGACTGGGTGGGAGCACCAGCAAGAGGAGGACAGCCCCCCCCCCCCCCCCCCCCCCCCCCTTTAAATCCCCCTAATAGGACAAGACAAACCAGTTTCTTCTCCGTCCTGATCCCTTTCTCTCACTTGTTCCCTAAATCATTCACTGACACCGCCCTCCACACCCATGAGAGACCGACCACACAGGTCTGCTATATCACCTGCCGCTCCCTGCTTCCCTCCTGCACTGAGGAATTACACAACCTCAGAACCTGCCTTTGACTCCTCATTCCTTCCTCTACAATCGATGCAGACCAGGAAAAGTCAAAGGAATGGGAGATAAGGAGTTACAGAACCTGAGTATTTGTCCCAGAGAGATCAAACGCAACAAAATTCAATTCAATTAAAAGACAAATAGAGATCAAAACCTGCCGATTTGAATAAAGAGGTTAAAAAAAAAGTTTTAGATAAAAAATTCCTTCATAGTAGCCTCTCACAGCCACGATAAGCAAGGTTGGTGGTAGGTTAAAGGTGACATTTAAATAGGGTATATAATTTAAAGTCTGCTTTTTTCCCCCCTGGTATTTATTTCAAACAGAAAAATAAAAATAATTATCAATATGAACTAACATTAAAGGCCTATATCATGGTACATTTTTAGCTATACTTAAAAGCCCTAGTGTCTAAGCACATATAGAGAGCTTTCTTAAGGCGCCCCTGGTGGTTTGACCTATAGGACTAAGAGTTATGTATTCAAACATATAATCCAACCTTAAAACTGACAAAATATCTTTGTATTCTGCTGTCCTGAACTTTATAAAATCCTTTAAGTTATCGTTGTGTAACTATTTGCTCATTTTTTTATGTATTTAAAAGCTTCTGAATAATTTATTTGTATAAACTATTAAATTCTGTTTGTTTAAATAACAGGCAATATGAGGGAAGACATCAATGAACTTCCTTTGAAATATCCTCATAATCAACCACCAGTGAGGAATTTGTTTTACATTAATGAGGAAAAGGTACAAGATAAACGTCATTTACTTTTTTTTGGGTCCCCAATGAGGCAGGCATCACTGAAGAGGTCGCATCCCTGTTTAATGCAGACTGAAAACGTATTTTTGGACTCCTTTAAATTAGATTGTAAAATAATGAGTAATTTCAAAGGTAATTCAACTGAACTCAGATTATGTTAGCTTACAGCTATGAGAAACCTTGTATTTTATATTAGAAAAGCACATTTTAAAAAATTATTCTTAATACAGAAATCTTATTTCATGACCAACACAATCATGGGTATGATTACTGACTTCAGTTGTTCATTCATTTTTAGGTGAATAGGGACGTTGCCACAAAAGTCATTGCTAAGGAGGCTGACTTTTATCAAAGAAAAGTTGAGTGGAAGGAAAATCTGGGACACAAAAGGTAAACAAATCAACAGAGGTCTAAAGAGAAGAGAAATAGAAAGTCTACACGATTAATGCGGTATGAAGATTTATTTTTCAGAAGGACCCAACAACTGTCCACGCCTTATGTACTGATACCTGCTTTGGTGACCATGATGTCATGGTGCTTGACCTAGGGCGTATTTTCCAGAGGAGGGTGAGCCACACCAGATCAAATTAAATGATCATATAAAAAAAAAAAACGTCACATCATGAACACCTGATCATGGCTACAGCCTGATCACCTCCATGCCACAGTACATTAATGCAGTCCATACACAATACAGAACATTTCTGTTTCACTTAAACTTTCTGATTGGTTTTAACTCTGAGAGGCATGTTTCTTTGGCTGTATAACTCACAATCAATTAAAATTAAAAGATAAAACCCTTAGATACTTTGTGTAATAACCCATTAGTCTGTATTGAGATACACCTGTGAGCAGGTTCAGGTGATATAGACCCACTGAGATGTTGACATTTGAACAGAGGGAGTGGAGTCCCGTGTCAAACATACTCGAAATTTCCAAGCAAAAGTAAATAAAGCTTTGTGTTGCCTAGCTACATAACGGGTGCTAAGTCAAAGATGTTTTAAAGACATTCATTTTTAAGAGAATAATACAAAAAAAATAATAATTAATAACCTATAATGCTGTTTAAAGTAAAGTTTGTTGTTAAAAAGTGGCACGCCATTAAAGATGCTCCATTCCTGAGTTCAGTGTGTTTAACAGGGATAACCGTTAGGGATGAAGGGGGGTCCGTTAACGGCCGGGTTTTACCTGTACCTCTTCTGCGCCGCTCTCCCGGTCCACTTCCCCAATGTAGTACTGCTCCAACCACCGCCTGGCGTTCTCAGAGTGCCGGTGCGGCGGTCCCTCCATCTCCCGGGTGAGGTCCTTCCCCGCGCGGCTCCGTATCAGCGCCTCGCCGCCCGGGTGCATTCGCAAGAAGGTCGTAACGTCGTAAACTCTGGTCCCCAGCAGCACCCAGCAGGAGTCCTTGGTGCAGTGGAGGGCCACCTCCCTCTCGGTGAAGAACCGCGGGGACGTGGACGGAGACATCCTGAGTGTGAGGGGTCTGTGGGTGAAGGGTCCAAAAAAAACCGGAAAAAAAAAAACAACTAATGAGACTTCCTGTGAGGGACCTGACGCCTAACGTCAACTGAGCTTCTTCTTCTCACTCATCAGAGAGTGAGGAAAGGAGGCGGGGTGTGGGAGGCGTTTAAAGCACGGGGGTAAAAAACGTACATTTAGGTGAGTCCTGGATCAATATTACAAACAGTCGTGTAGAGCAGCCTGACACGCCTAAAAGACAAACTCTAAAATGTTAGACAAGTCTGTGCCTTACATTCCTCGCCCCTAATTCTATCCAAGTTAATAGTAATAAATTATTAATTAATTAAACTAAGAAAATACCTAGGTCTGTAAACGCATCGTCACATCTAGTGGCACCTGTTGCTCCGAGATGAGGAAAGAGCGAAAAGTTCAAACAAACCTATTAAAATAGCTTTGATTAAAGATTTTTTTTCTCCCATTTTAGTGAGAATGACAAAATGGAACCCTTCAGTCATTTAAATTAATGTTTAACATGGGCGTCAACCAAAAGGATGACATAACTTGTTTGAAGTAGCGTCACGTAACCTTTTCATCACTTCCTGATCAATAGAAAAGTTACAGCGAGTAAACGTTGGTGCGAGTGCTCCTTCAAGCTGTTACTAACAAAAACAAATACTTTACAGTTAAAAATTTACACATATGAAAGCATGTAAACAGACAGTTACTCAAGAAAAATATTAACACAAAATGATTTCTAACTAATTAGAAAATCTGATATTTCTATTTTTTTATTGTAGGTATATTTTCCGGAATGACTTGCGCAAGTGTAAATAAAAGTGTTAAAGATTTTCAGTGTTTTTTGAAGATGTACTTTGTTTAGAGCTTGTAAAAAATATATATATAATTTTTATAATAATAAAACCTTTTCATTATTTTTTGCAAAGTTTTCTTATTCGTGAATGCAAGTCTGGTGAGAAAAATCGGGAGTATATTTTTCATTCTTTTGTATTATACTATACTATGTATTATATTCATGCAGCTTGCTTGAATGTACTAGGACGTAATTTTAAAAAGCATAATTAGATAATTAGAATTCAGTTTACTGAGATCAGACAGTAGAAAAGAGGCTGATTAAAAGCGCCATCTAGTGTTTGTGATGTGTAAGAAAAACATGCTCTGAAATTAAATTTACCAGTCAAATTACATTTAATTTTAAGATAATACGCTCCCATAAAAGATGGTAAAAAGAAATGTATTGCATTTTTGCATTTTGCTGCTGGAAACACCAGAATTTACCCATTGTGGAATAATAGAGGGATTTTCTATTCTATCCTAAATAAAAACAGTTACTTTTTGCAAACTGTTTGTTTCAAGAAAACATAAAACATTTCACAGCCAGAGAGGTTAAGCATACTGCAGTATTGCAAAAAAAAAAAAAAAAAAAAAAAAAAAAAAAAAAAAAAAAACAAAAGCAAACAAACACTGGGACTGCACAGACACACATATTTCATTTTTTTTGTATGTGTAATTGTGTATGTGTAATTCTGTGAACAATAAAAGTCAAACTCTTTGTTTTTGCACCAAACTTGGCTTGTAAATTTGATTTTGACTTAATCTACTGGCCTATCCAATTGGGCTTTGGACTGATGAAAAAAAGAGATATTAGAAGAAACCAAAAGAAACAAAATTTAGAAAAAAAAGAAAGTACCGGTATTCTTTAGTTTAATGTGAGACCCTCTGTTGGAAATCTCAGGCTTGGCTAAAACCTGCTCATAGAAGCCATTCAGTTACTAAATGCTAAATGCTTCACCTGAGACTCCACGTTCTATAATAAGTAACAGCATAACGTTAATGATAGACAATTAGATAAAGATAAAAGTTTGGTAGATTTTTGAAGGTGAATAAGAGACTCTCTTTATAATAAATATGATATAATTGTGACATCAGATGCAGATCAGAATCAGAATTACTTAATTAATCCCTTGCGGATAATTCTTTTCTTGCAATGCAGCTGTTTACAGAAATACAGTAGAGCAAAATAAAATATAACATAATAAGTCAGAACACAATAATTCAAATAGATAAAATTACAACCCACACAGTAAAATTACACAATTACCATATAAACAGTGTAAAATACAATATAGGAATAAAATCCATAGCTCAGTAGATACATTCAACGGTATTTACAATTTACAATGCAGCTCAGTTCCTAAATTACTATTATTGCGCATGACCATGTTATTGCACATAGTGAAGTTTGCTATTATAATATAATATAATAGAGAGAAGGAATCAACTTTATCGCTGCGTTGTAGGTTTTTGAGAGCTGTTTTTTTTATGGAGCAAGTAAGTAAGAAATAATGCAGATGCAATGAGAGGATTTAGGTTTAAAAAGAACTCTGTTATTTAATTTCAAGGGCATAATATCTAATTATCTTATTCCAACAGCAAAATATGAATTCCTTTATCAGATTGTATTTACCTGTTCAAATTCAGGGCAAAATGACCTATTTTAAGAATGTTTTACTTTCTGCAGTGTAATACTAAATCAATTTCTTAATGCTGACAGGAGAAACTGTTACTGATTTGTAGAGGAATAGAGTATTCAAATTTATTGTCATTACATTATCACAAGTACAAAGCAACTAAATATGATCTCTGCATTCAACCCATCACCTTGTGGACCAGTGGGTTGCCATTGTGCGTTACACGAGGAGTAGTGTGGGGTTAAGGGTCTTTGCTCAGGGACCCAGAGTGGCAGTCTGTGGGAGTGGGGCTTGAACACCAAACTTAGAAGCGCAATGCCCTAACCACTAGGCAACCACTCCCAGTTAAATATATTTTCTTTATAATTTACAGTTTTAACCTTTGGACCAGCTTTGAACCCCACTGTCCAGTATTTGAAGGTTCTGCCCTTTGACTCCACATGGACCTCCATCATGACTGGAAATAAGCTCATCATTAAATTGTACCTAGTTGCTACCTGATAAAAGCAGCAGGGGGCGCTGCATGACCAGAGGAACGTGCAAGTTAAAAGTTAATAAAAACAAGTTTTGGAAAATTAACAGAAAATGCTTCACTACCATATTTCTAGTTCTCAGTACCTTCATATCTGAGGTGGCCACAGTGCCAGAGGTTGAGCCACAACCGATACTGACACATGAATCAAAAAACACATAAGAAAATTTAAAGCAACCAGTCAACCTGACAGTCATATTATTAGACTGTGGTAGGTGAAGTTTAAAAATATTTTAGGTTCATTTCTGTAAGCAAAGTTAATGATATATAAGTTTTACCTTCTTACCTGCACATCATTAACAGCCTTTTTAGTTTTCTTGTACTATCTTCCACCCATACCAACAATTTACAAAAATAGTCACATAATATTCTTTAAAGTCAAACGTCGCCAACAAATTCATGGTGAAATTCTTATCAAGCCCATGCCTTTTATTGTTTTTAAAGTAATTCACTGCAGGTCTGTCTTTTGGGTTTCCTCTTGGTATATGGTTTCAGGGAAATGGGTTTCTTGAAGTGAGGCTTATTTTGACCAGATTTACCAAAACTGACACTAAAACACAGTCAGATCTCTTACATCGAATGATAAGATATTTCAGGTAGTACCTCCAAAATAAATGTTTTGTTTGGGTTTGATGTGAGCACAAAATATCATACAGTATAATGTTCACATAAAGGAAAAGGATACATCTGAGAAATGCTGTAATTCAGACCCCTTTTGTTTGCCACCCCAATAAAATCCAGTGCAACCACCTGTTTGTTTGAGAACACTTGTGAACAAATCAGCATCATAAAAAACAAGGAAAACAACAAATACTGTAGGTCAATGAATAATTTATGGAGAAGTAAAAAAAACAGGGTTAGTTTGCTCCTAAATCAATATCCTTTGGAGGAGCCACAGAGGTAACCTGTTCAGGTGGGAGAATCAGTTCCCTGGCCTTTAGGGAAGAAGAGTAAGGAAAAATCCATTGTGGGGGAAAATTAAGCCATTAGAGGCTTAATTCAATTCTGTTTATTCATATAGCACCAATTCACAACACTTGTTATCTCAAGGCACTTTACAGAGACAATTCAACCAGATCATACAGTCAATTTGATTCAAAGTTTTTTAAGGAAAAGCAGCTGATTTCATGAACTCATTGACTCAAAGGCTATTCCTCACACTAAGCATGCCTGTAGCGACAGTGGAGAGGAAATGCTCAATTTAAACAGGAAGAAATATCCCTTTAACTCAATAGAAAGATAAAAGAAGGTGTCATATTACACAAGTCTATGTATGGTGGAAAATAAACTTTGCTCTACACATCTGTTGTTTGTTGTTTGATCGTGCAAAAAACAACATCAATGATTCATTCCTCCCTTTTTGTCGCTGCGGTTTTATGTGGTCTAATATGAGCTGACAGGGGTTCTGTTGGCGTAACAAGCTCCTTCTTCAGTTTCTTCACCCTCTGAGCTCCAAACCCCTCAGAGAGTTGATGTCCCCTGTCACTTCCCATCAGCAATGTATCAGATTGCGCTGAATGACGAAACAACATCGACCTATGCATCCATCCTATTGTTCAGGAGCACAAAGGATCACGCTCTGTGACCTCTGGCTTGTTTCAAACTGTCACGATGTTTTGGAGCTTCTACGTGTTTATTCTTATAGTGATCACCCATCACTGCCTTTGTTATCTGCATCTCCTGTGGGGCAGTCCTTGTTCTTTATCTCTTCTCTCTTCAACCTGTAACCCCCATATCTATGTTTGTTCTTGTCTTTTCTCAGAATTAAAGCTTCCTCTAAATATACCATGCTAAACAAAAAGACTCCTTAATAATAAACCACATTGGTGTTCGTGTAATCTGAGTCTTTCAGGTGTGTGCCTGTGTTTAATGAGAGTGACCTAACTGAGGTGATGCCAGAGGAAGGAGGAGGGATGTTTAGGTTTGTGAACAGCGATTGGTCGCTTTTAAGGCCTGGACATCTTGAAATCTATAAGAAGGGAGCAATTTTCTGGCCGATTTTTACTCTTACCGAAGAGCATTAACCTACGACCATGGCTGCTGTTGTTCCTGTAAGTATCTGCTT